TATTTCAAGACATTGACGAATGTGCCTCAGCTTCTGTAACGTCTTTTTGAATTGTCAAGGAGTTCCAGTAAAGCTCTTCGTTGTGCTATATATAGACACACACACACACTCACCTAAAGAATTGTTAGGATCACCTGTTCAATTTCTCATTAATGCAGTTATCATTAACCAATCACATGGCAGTTGCTCCAGTGCATTTTGGGGTGTGGTCCTGGTCAAGACAATTTCCTGAACTCCAAACTGAATGTCAGAATGGGAAAGAAAGGTGATTTAAGCATTTTTGAACGTGGCATGGTTGTTGGTGCCAGACAGGCTGGTCTGAGTATTTCACAGTATGCTCAGTTACTGGGATTTTCACGCACAACCATTTATAGGGTTTACAAAGAATGGTGTCAAAAGGGAAAAACATCCAGTATGTGGCAGTCCTGTGGGCGAAAATGCCTTGTTGATGCTAGAGATCAGAGGAGAATGGGTTGACTGATTCAAGCTGATAGAAGAGCAACATTGACTGAAATAACCACTTGTTACAACACGCACAACCTTGTGACGGATTGGCTACAACAGCAGAAGGCCCCACCGGGTACCACTCATCTCCACTACAAATAGGAAAAAGAGGCTACAATTTGCAAGAGCTCACCAAAATTGGACAGTTGAAGACAGGTAAAATGTTTCCTGGTCTGATGAGTCTCGATTTCTGTTGAGACAGTCAGATGGTAGAGTCAGAATTTGACGTAAACAGAATGAGAACATGGATCCATCATGCCTTGTTACCACTGTGTAGGCTGGTGGTGGTGGTGTAATGGTGTGGGGGATGTTTTCTTGGTACACTTTAGGTCCCTTAGTGCCAATTGGGCATTATATAAATGCCACGTCCTACCAGAGCATTGTTTCTGACCATGTCCATCCCTTTATGGCCACCATGTACCCATCCTCTGATGGCTACTTCCAGCGGGATAATCCACCATGTCACAAAGCTTGAATCATTTCAAATTGGTTTCTTGAACATGACAATGAGTTCACTGTACTAAAACGGTCATCAAAATGGTCATATTTGGCCATCTTGTAATCTCACATAGTCACACTGTTTTTGGAGCATCCCTGAAAGTTTGTGATAGAGGATAAAGGATAAAATAACATAAAACGCATGTCTTGATATTTCCATGTCTCTTGTTGGTCTAAAGATTACATTGAAAAATACAGGGATTGCATCACTATTGTGACATCATTGGGATTTTGAGGCCATTGCTAAGTAATTCCACCTCGCAGTGTTGAATGCTGAACACTTTTTCACATTAAAATAGATCATTCTTGTGTAGTGCATGTCTTCTGTTCTCAACCAACTAGCCATTCATTGTTTTTTTTTCTTGCAGTGATATCCAGAAAATCATGTGTAATATAAATGTTTTAATTTATTTGTTTGTTTGAATACCTTTGTCCAGTTTGCATGGCATATCCATAGGATGCCATAGAGTTTTGTGCTAAAACTGCTTTAAAAAGGGGGAATTAAGTGATTAACGTCACTAATTATGATGGTGTGTCAAAAATGTGTTAATGATGGTAATTCCAAGGGTTCATGGAATCTCAGCATTCCTCATCGGTCCCCTCCTCTCATGTTTCTCGTGCTTCCACGACACTAAGATTTTATGTAAGTCTACACGGCCAGTCTGTATTTATCTCAAAATCGTCCAAATGTTTTGAAAGTAAAGCACATAATACTTGATTAAGTGTCTTGATTTTTAGGAACTGAGGCCATTTCTGTGGGGCTCCTTTGGGAAACAAATACTGTCAGAACATTCAGAAAGAAAATCATAAGCCATGCACAAGACATTTCCAACTGAAATCTGATTGAAGTCGGACATTTATTAATTTGTAGAATTTAATCAATTAAAGGCTTATTTTACTAACTGTCTGCAGGTTCCACAGCTTCCCAGGAATTCTTTTCATAACCCTGCTGTTATCTGACACAGACGAAGAGAAGGGTCAAAGCACACAGACAGTCCTACTGCGCACCTCAGGGCAAACAGGGGTTAAGTGTTTAGCTCAAGGGCACAGTGGCTGGGATTTGAACCTGGAATCCTCCTGTGCATGTTTTAAAGCTCTTTCCAACATGCCGCCAGCAAAATAAAAAAATGTGATGGAAAAAAGCAGTTAAGTTCTTTGAAAACCGATGCAAAAACTCAACAGCACAAAAAGAAAGTTAAAACATTCCAGGAAACTTTATCGCATTACCTTACCAACAAAAGAGTACCATGGTGCTATGTTTTTTTAAACCACTAATCATGGTAATACTATGGTGTTTTATTATCCTGGATGCCAGCCATTTTTTGGTCGGGAAGTTCGGTCTGGACTCGATCCATTGAGGAGTAATTATGATCAGTCAAAAAATGGTCAGGCCAATCAAATTGCCAGGGCGGGCTTTATATGATGATGGACAGATGATCTGCAGTTACGTAATCATCGCATCATCAAAGAGCGCTGGGTTTGATCTGGTTTACAACAAAGATGACTGCAGCTGGAGAATTGAGATGTATAGATTCTGCTTTCGCGTCTGTTTTAGAAGAAATCGACAGAGCATTAATTTTAAAAGACGAACAGAGAACTGCAACAAAGGCATTTGTCGATCGTCTAGATGTGTTTGCTGTCTTTCCTACAGGATTCGGCAAAAGTTTAATTTATCAGCTGGCTCCGATGGTCTTAAAGAAGATGGGACACAATGTAAACCCAGTGGTATTGTGGTTTCTCCTTTGGTAGCACTCACGGAAGACCAAGTAAAACAAGCAACCGAAATGGACATCACGGCGATGCAACTCATGTCAAAGCCATTGCTGCATCAAACAATGGTGACGCTTTGTTTTCTTTTATCATCTCGTGTTCGAGATCTGCCTATGGGAAGGCCATCTGCACCTGACCTCTGCAGAAGCATCCAATTGCATCAAGCTGTTTAGTTGGGATTTATTTCTGGTTGCAAGCCACCCACGCTCGCTACCTGGATTTGCTCAGGCTGCCCGCCTGTTTCTCAGCTTTCACCTCTCCGGTGGATCTCAAACTCTCTGTCCCTACTAACCCATTGGACGGGCAGTCCCGTGCATGCCCTGCCGCCTGCGGTTAACTCATCGCCACGAGGGATGCCCATCCCTTTTGCTACTCTGCCGCACGCAGTCCTTATGGGTGTGTGAGCGAGCGACCGCTCATCTCAGCATGGAATGGCCTGCCCTCCAGAACGCCGCCGACTAAGAGAGGGCTGTGTGTGACGGCAAACTCCTAGGTCCCCCTCCCGGTCCTGGGAAGCAGCTCATGCCTGTTCTCCCTGCATGCGCTAAGCTCATGCGACACTATTGGAAGGACCCTCTTGATCTTAAGCACGGCTTGCCGGGTCTGGAGGTTAAAGATATGGCAGCATGTGGCATGGGTGACCCTCCCACCATCGAGCCCTCTATTGCCAGACACCTTAACCCCTCGCAGGCCAGTTCTCCGTAATAAGATAGGCCGCTTCTCAGCATCTGTCTTCCAGGCCTCGGCTCTTGCAGTACGGGCCCTACCAGGCTGAGCTGTTGGAGGACATGAGTTCTCATTTGGAGAAAGGAGTGTCATCGCTGACGCTGTGGAAGGAGCGAGGACCTGGTCCTTCGCAACACCCGCCAGGCCATCCAAGCCGGCGGACGTTCTATGGCCCTGTGTGTTGTGGGGGAATGTGCCAGTTATTGACAGAAACTGAGCAAAGGGTGCTCTCCGTATAATCAAAGAGGCTGATATAACTTCACTTCAGCAGTAGCACAATCTCACTGCGTGAAAACTCCTGATATCAAAAAATTGGTCTCGATTGTGTAGTGAATCTCTTATTTACTTTGTTTAAACTCTGTTGGTTGTAGTGAAACAATTTGCAGAGTGCAGAACTCGCGTCGAACAAACTTGCATATTGAGAGGATTCTGACCAATTTAAATGCATGTGAAAAGCCATTGCGTTCACTTGCTCAAGAAACATGTCTGTGATTGGCAAGGCTGCCAAACACGTGGTAAAAAGAAACTTTGATTTCTCTTCACACATTTGAAAACAGCCACCTATCAGCAAGTACCAAATTTACCTGAATCTGATACTTGGTATTGTACTGCAGAAAGGCTGGTATTGTTACATTTTTTTACATTTTATTTATTTATTTATTTTTTTTTGATAGATTATTTGCATCTTTAAAATGATCCTAATTAAAGCACTGTACTCCCATTCACATTCAGACAGACATCATTGGTCATTACGTCACAACTCTCAAGTATTTTGCGTTTTAAGATACTCCGTGAAGTTAAAAACACGTCAACTTTTCAAAACTGTCACATAACCACTGCGTTCTATTCCAGGCAGTTGTGCTCTGTCCAGCTGTTTTCGAGCACAAGAATACATCCTGTATAAACACATCCAATCTGGGTGAGTTTATCCTGAATCCAGTCTAAAATTTCAGTGCCAATATTTTCAACATTGAAGATGTGCAGGAGATATTTGAAGAATGTGAATTGTTTTAGAGCGTTACATGATGTGGTTTATCAAAAGTGTGAAAAGTGATTTGTGCAGAGTATCCAGTGTCCTGGTCCGGGTCCTGGTTGTGTTTGTGGGCTGTGTGGCAGGCCTGCTTTCTGCTGTGTGGAATGTGTTTATGGGCTGTCTCTTCCTGCAGTGCCTATATTACACACATTTTTGACCTGGGGTGAGGAGATCAGTAGCTGTTGACTGACTGAACACACATTCATTAGAGATCTCAAGGAATGTCCCAGATTCTTTAAATCTCCACACAGCTTTGTTCATCCCAATGCAAGTCTTTGTACACATGCTTTAAACACCCCAAAATACATGAGCCATATCACGCAATGTTGTGAAAAACAGCGAAAGCAGCTTTGCTTTTGTAACACTCCAACTCTGTTGTGTTGAGTTTTATATGTTGTCCTGTACAGCACAGTTTCTAGGTGTTTTTGACTCTTGTGTTAATTTTGGCATTCTGTCCCTGTTCCTGTAGGATTACCAAGCCTCTGACCTTTGCCGACTGTGTGGGGGATGAGCTTCCTCTGGGCTGGGAGGTGGTATATGACCAGCAGGTGGGCGTCTACTACATCGACCACATCAATAGTAAGTTCAGCTCTTTAGTTCTTCTTTTAAATGTCATATTTAACACATCTAGCCATTTTTGTTTAACTAGAGCTGTCTATTAGTTGAATATGTTGATTAATTTAGTTGTTACAAAATTAACCTAAACGTAAATGTAAAATGTATGTATTTATTCTTTGTTTGTTTTTATTTAAAAACAACAGCAACAACCATATATATATATATATATATATATATATATATATATATATGAAGAGTTCAGATGCAAAAGCCTCTAAATGCCATTTGAAATTTTCTTCTTTAATGATGATTTTTATCAAACTTGTATATTTAAGTTCAGTAATTTCACTTAAATAACAATTAATAGGTAATTATCATTGCCATTTAAGTGAAATCACTGAACTTAAATATACAAGCTTGATAAAAATCATCATTCTAGAAGAAAATTTCAAATGGCACTTAGAGGCTTTTGCATCTGAACTCTTCATATATAAAAGCCATTGTTAAGTCATTGACATATGAAATGTCAAAACCATAGTATTAAAGCCATCATCCAAGAGATTACTCCAAAAATGAGTATCTGATAACCATATACAACAATAGCATTATTCTTGATACCAAAGATAGTAACCCAATTCACATGTATCAACCAAAGTGGACATATTTGAATCTTGAACAATATTTGAATCTTGAACGATGGATGGAGGGATGGATAGAGGGAGTCATTCAATTTGTGTGACTGTCGATCACTGTTTGCGGATATACCATAGAAATGAATGAAAAGTGCCATAAACTGAAGTGTATCTGTCAAGCAGTTGTCTATTACTTTGCTTATAAAACAGTATATTTTTCGTGGTAAACCCTAAAACGTATGTTTAAGAGCAAACATGTTGAAGATTTGCCAATGGGCTGTCAATTCATTAAATAAGTCGCAGAGAAGCCGTTTCCCCCACAAAAGCAGTTTATTCAGTGTAGTTAAGCCATTGACATCCACTAATAAAAGGGCCTCTGATCTCCTTCCCTGTGTACCGTTAGCATTAGCATACATTACACTTTTTGCTAAACTTGAAGGCTTGCCTTCAAGAAGCTATGTTTCCTTGTTATGAATCAGCCAAATCAACTTACTTCCGTATTGAACCATCTCAAATAATGCTGAGCAGTGCAAGTTATCATGTCTGACTAAAAAACTTTAAATGTAAATCAGATATATATATAATATAATTATAAATGTATATAACCAAAGCATTATTTTCTTCCCCAGAGACGACCCAGATAGAGAACCCTCGCACACAATGGCGTCAGGAGCAGGAGCGCATGTTAAAGGAGTACCTGGTGGTGGCGCAGGAGGCTCTCAATGCCAAGAAAGAGATGTATCAGATCAAACAGCAAAGACTCGAGCTGGCACAGCAAGAGATGCAACTCTTCAACCAACTCACTCAGGATGACAACCGTTCCATCACCAGCTGTGAGACACGCATAACATCTCACTTTAATCACATCACACACACTGCTGATTCAGCCATCTAAAATTACGCCAACCTATTAGTCATGTTGTGTAAAGTTTCAGTGAAGTCATTCTTACTCCAGGCTTACTTCAGTGTCACTCATTGGCTGAAATCGTATTTATTTCCTCACTCATACATTCGTGGCCTCCTCCCTTCCTCCTCTAGTCCAGCACACCCCAACTTTTTCCTTCACTTTCCCCTCTCTTTCCTGCCACCCTTCAGTTTCTGCTGAAACGTCTCTTTACTTTTTTTTTTTTTTTTTCAAATCGATCACTTACGATAAAATGGTCATCGTTTAATTTGGCGAACAAACGTTTACATTATAAAATATTAATTGTATTGTTAGTAATATTAGTATTATTATTGGTATAACCATTCTTATTAATTATATATTGCTATATTGGTATAATTTTAATGTTAATCTTCATATTAAGATTATTATTATTAGGGTTAGTATTATTAAGGTTATAGTATACTAAGATGATTTAAAAGGTTGTTTTGTAAACATTTTTTTCCTAAGTAAAAATACTTACTGTTGAATAAGGTTTTCTTATTTTAATGAGGCCTTTTTTTCATTATGATATAGGCACAATTGCTTCACCCTCACACTGTCTACTTTTTGCCCGCCAAAAAATCTAAATAAATTTAATTAAAAAATTAGAATTATGCTCATCGATTCGATTGATTATATTAATTAATCTAGGAATCTTCTTACTTCTTCAAATAAAAAATATGACCATGACCAAATGAAAGCAGAAATCACATGTAGACGTTGTCTATGGTATTTCTTTCTTCAATTTTTATGCACATATCCAGCTTTTACTACAAAAACAAATTCCAATGATACCTTTAATATCAGAATATCATGAAATTTCATGGTGCTTTACTATATGGCACTGGGTGACATGCACTAAAGTATTTACATGGTGTATATATATATATATATATATATATATATATACATATACAGTATATGTATATATATATATATATATATATATATATATACAGTATATATAATTAAAACATGACATGGCACAATCATGGTACATTTATGCCAGTGTTCTGATTTCTTATCTTAAGATTTGAAGAGATTTTGTATTGTGTGTCATTTATATGTGTAATTCAAGGTACAATCACTGGTTACACATGAGCAGAATGTGATTGTGACTTTTTGACTCCTCTTTCTCTCTTATAGCTCACTCTGGTTCCTCTTCAAATGCAAAATATGACCCTGACCAAATCAAAGCGGAAATCGCCTGTAGGCGTGAGCGGGTAAGTCATTATCCTCTGAGAACAATGCCTCATACGTCAGGCCCACGGGGAGATGCTGGGCCCCTCATGTGCCGCTTGATTGTGTGTTTTTATATGTGTATTGAGGGGAGGTGGGTACCTATAGGAAGAAGAGGCCTAGGTTTGGGTTCACTGCTGTGTTCCTCTGGTTGGGCCTCTCTAGATTAGTGCTATACTACAGGAAGAGTTATTGTGTCAGAAAATCTGTGGATGATGAACTCTTGATCTAAATCTTGACTAAATCTGTCAAGGAATCTTTCGCCCAGAAATGAGAATTTAGTAGAGTAATTTAGAAAAAAGTTATTATTTTCTCATGTTTTGTTCCAAACCATGCTTTTTTTTCCCCCATTGAAATTTAGGAGAAATGGAGAAGACTATTTGCGCAGCTAGTTCTCATTTGTAGTGCCGCTTCCAGTTTGATTATCACATGTGCCGTACTCAATAACTATTTTAGATATTTTACAGAGGGGGAGATTTTCAATGAATGACTTTTCGATTAACAATGTTTTATTCTATTCCATACTCAAAGCTGTTGTTTGTTTTAGAAGTAAACTTGCTGTTCCAAAGTTTGGGGGTAGTGTTTTTTCATGCTTTACCAAGTCTGTTTATTTGATAAAAAAGAAATAAATAAATAACTATATATATATATATATATATATATATATATATATATGTGTGTGTGTGTGTGTGTGTGTGTACATAAATATATGTGTGTGTATACATATTGACTGTTTTCTCTATTTTAATACATTTTAAAATTACATTTTATATGATATTATACTCACACGCACACACACATATATATATATATATATATATATATATGTGTATGTATATGTGTGTGTGTGTGTGTACATATATATATATATATATATATATATATATATATATATATATATATATATATATATATATTTTGTGTGTGTATACATATTTTCTCTATTTTAATACATTTAAAATTACATTTTATATGATATTATTTGAAAACATAAGTTATTCCTGTGAATGCAAAGCTGAATTTTTAGCAGCCATTACTCCGGTCTTCAGTGTCAAATGATCCTAATCATTCTAATATGCTGATTTGGTATTTAAGAAATATTTTCATTATCAAAGTTGAAAACTGTTTATTTATTTATTTTATAATGTTTTATAAGGTCCACTTATAATGTTATCAAATATTTTGACATTAAAAAACATTTTTTTTTAAACAAAAAATAGACAAATTTTTATCCTGTTTTGATCCTCTCTTTAAAACACTCTATTTATATCGATGTGCCACATTCAAGATTTGGAAGTATATACCCATTGCCATGGTTGGGGAACAATTTAGCATATTCCTCATGATTATCACAGTTGAGAACGGTTGTGGTGCTTAATATTTTTTCCATTAATCTTTGATGAATAGAAAGTTCAAAGGACAGAACATCTTTTTGCATTATTATAAATGTCTTTGATGTTGCTTTTGATCAATTAATGCATCTTATTACATAATTGCTTGCTTTAAATAAAATTGTCCTGACCCCAAACTTCTGAACGGTAAATGGCACATGGGCTACTTTTACGATCTGTTCTTTCCTAAGTTTTTGGAGTGTGACAGGCATTTAAACCGTCATTGTATGGAAAATATTTATGTAAAGTTTTTTTTGTTTGTTTAATGAAACAATGACGGCAATCAGAGAAAATTATAATAAAAGAACAGAAAGTGTAAAAAAACATTTTGTAGTAAATAGGCGCTATATTATGTCAGATTTGGTCTTCCATGGCCTGTTACCTACTTATCTGGGTGTTTTTTTCTGTATATTAAATGACCCTACATTCCTCCATTGCGGTTTTCAGAGGCCTGTGTGTGTTTAAGGTCGTTTTAAGTTCCTGTTTATGTTGGGCGGGTCGGGAACCATTAGACATGTCTCTGCTGATGACTCCGCGTTTTTTTGCTATGGTGTCTCTGAGGGAATCCCACTGTGTGTTTTGATGTGTATTGACCAAGTGGCTCTTGTGTCCACAGCTTTCTAGGCTCAAACAGGAGCTGGCTCAGATGAGACAGGAGCTGCAGTACAAGGAAATGGGAGTGGAGACCCTACAGGAGTGAGTTAAACTGAATTAAACCCTTCCTCACCCACTTGTACACACAGAGCATGAATAGATTAAGTGCATTGCTTACTGGTGTTTGTAATGGCATGCATCACTATTAGGCCTGCTATTGCTACTACATGAGGTTTGGAGTTAGTGTTAAAATATTTAACTTTGGCATACAATGTCCTTCACCAGCTCTTTGGGGAGAGGTGTTCTATCAGTTTTTTTTTGTCAGGCAGATGACAACTAAAAGGGGGAAAGAGACAAAAATGCCATAGAGACATGTTCTTTTGAATTTAGAACAGTAAGATACTACTTAACCAACAAGAACAGCCAAGCAATCTCATAGCGAATCACTTTAAATCACTCTAAACAATATAGCACATCATCACATCATCAAACATCTAGCATAAAATTGTATTATTCCTCCCTGCCCCCAGTCTTTTTCGTGATGCATGAACATGATTTTTTTGAATAGTAATAATAAGTGACAATATTACTGTTTTTAAAGCATTTTATACTAATAATAAATGCAGCCTTGGAGCGCATAAAAGGCATCTTTCAATCACACCAAGCCCAAGCTTTTGCAAGAGAGTGTATAGCATAAGCATAAGTTTACAGTCTTTTAAAGTTTACAATCTTCACCTCTGAGCGATTGTGGCACAAACGGAAACAAATCATCCCAAACAGACGTTCTCTCTTGTCTCAAAACAGTTGTAACTTGCATTAAAGTAGATGAATAAAGAAGGCAGGTTTGTATTTCCTGATGATGATACTTGCCAGGCAGGAGAAATATTGTTAAATTTTTAAGTAAGTTTAGGTTTTATGCTTTGGTTCAAAGCTTCTTTTTTTCTTCTTCTTCTTTTTTACCGTTTTAAATAAACGGTTATCCGACATGTGAAAATTGTACAAGACATCATAGCTGTTGGTTACATTTTGAATAGTAAGCATTTTATCATTAGAGCACAACGGGAGGCCAATCTTTTATTTTAAAAATTGTTATGGATATTAATATGGGTCATGAATTGGCTACAAAACAAAGTTCGAATGGAATCATGTGCTTAACGTTTCGGCCAAATTGATTTCTGAAGTTTAATTTGGATTAGAGATTAAAAAACAAACTCGACCGAGTCATCAATACCTGTTTTGCTAGCACTCTAGTAATATTTTGTCAGGTTGAAAGAGTTGTTCATTTAGACAAGCCCGTCCTTATACTTAGCATAGCTAGCTAGTGCATTCAGGGCTAATTTCAGCCCTAATTTCACTATTATTCAGTTCAGTGGAGCAGAAAACCAAACAGTTACCAGATACCAAGCTCTAAAAAAAATCCAAATTAGTTACCTGCTCTGTAAATGTCGGATTAAACATACTTTTCTCATATACTGTGTTCCAAATAAATAGAATAGTTGTTTGGATGCTGTGTTTTGAATTGCAGTAAAGCTGTTGATTGTCGTTTTTTTTGTAGTGTTTACAAGATTGTAGAGTAGGGTTTATATGTTTTTTTTTAAAGTGATCCGGGAATATGTGTGGGGAATTTTACCTAAACCAACAAAAAAGCTTTGTGTGTGTGTATGTCTGGAAAAGGGGACTCCACCTCAGGAAGAGGATGCACCAGTTGACTGTTTTGCCAAGGCAGGAAAAGCTCAAAAAGCAGAGAAAGAGTGAGAGTCCGGAGTAGAGAGCGTGAGAGGAGGGGTGGGAAGAGATGAGGAGGGAGCAAAAAGTGCCTGAAAGCATTTTGGAAAACAGAGAGATATCTGGCAGCAAATTCCTCCCTGCTTCCTGCATCCCAGTGAGGGCCCTTATCTCTTAGATGGAACACAACTCTACTTGCTCCCAGAATAGCAAGATTAACTCTTTACTCCGCTCTGTAAGAAAGTGGAATCTCCCTCTTGACCTTGGGACCTCTGTAGTTTCATACTGTCATTTTTACTTTTTATTTGATGTCAGTCTAATGCTCAGTTGAATATTTTGAGATATGTTGCTAGTGTCTAACAGCAGTCGCTCTACTGTAGAAGTCGCATCAAAGCTTTGCTATTTATATGTAATACATATATGGAAAACGTGGTATATATTTGGGGTCAGTAAGACTTTGAAAGAAAGAAAGAGAAAGAAAGAAATACTTTGACAGTAAAGACATTTGTAATATTATAAAAGATTTATTTTAGATAAATGCTGCTCCTTAGAACTTTGTTTTCATCAAAGAATACTGAAAAAAATTACAGTTTCCACAAAAATGTTATGCAGGACAACTGTTTTTAACATTGATAAAATAATAAGATTTATTTTTTGAGCATAACATAACATAACAACATAGTGTTTAGAAACCAGATTAATCTTAAAGCTGCTGTCTGCAGTTTCCCCTCTTTTTTACCATCTCTGTTCGAAATTTGCAATTGCAGTTATTCACAGAATTATCAACTTTACGTGAGTTGTAGTTCAACACCTCACAGTGTGGATGAACACAATGTTTAAAGAGGCTGTCAGTCACCGAGTTGGTGTGGATACTGGCATTCAGAATCACAGATTAGTCTTTTGGAAGTATGACCATTGACCAATATAAGAATTTTCACCAGAAAATGTATGAACTGCTAAGAAACATCCACTTTTGTTCTGGTTCTGACATTGCAGTAAGTCGCGCTGATTAAATCTAACAATAGCTTATCATATCATGTAAAACCATGCAAATTATAGTTTGTTCTCAAATTGTTAATGTTAATGAGACTCCTTCTGACGTAATGACGCAAAGACATGCTCGAATCTCCCGTGGAAATCCACCAGTACCACTGAAATTAAAAACCTTATTACAAGCTTACCGCTTTGAATCGAGCTACGGCAAGCAGATTGAACACTGGCTGGTTATGTATTTTCTCAAATATGTATTTTGGAAAAATATTTAGCCCCAAAAATGCTATGGACTGCAGCTTTAATTTAATACACACTTTATAAGAAATTTGTTCATATATCTGTAGAAAAACTTAAATTTGAATGATCTCAAGGTCATTTCCTCCCTTTCTACGTCTTAAAAACTAGCAGCCGGCATGTCTGTTCTGTGTCACCAGGCAATCGTGCGCAGTGATATTGGGGTAGAAAGGGTGGGTAGATGTTCGTTGTAGCCTGGCAGACTCGGGTCCTGGTCAGGCAGGGCTGTGAAAGGTTGGTGGTTTGAAGGGGGGAAACAAAGCCCTGCTTGTGTGGAGAGGAGGAGAGGAAGAGGCAGGGCAGGCGAGCTGACAGTACCTGCTGTTGGAGGAGGGTGGCCTGCAGGAAGTGGCCTATGGCAGGAGATCAGGCGCCACGCCAGAGACATGCTTTACACAATCTCTCCCCCACTCCTGTGATTTACAACCATCAAATTTGGCAGCTTGAGAATCATATATTTATTTTAATATATTATAATTTCCATTATGACATCTTAAGATGTTATCATTTTTGCTGTATGTAATAGAACAGTATATTGAGAAACCAAACATTTCTTTATGCGTTCCTGTTCAAATTGATGAAAGGCATTTTTCAAGTTTTCTTAAGCTAGTTTAGCTGGTTGTTTCTGTTTCTAGAATGGCATCCTGTCTCTATGCCCAACATTTCAGGCATTACACTTTGGAGGATATATATCCCACAGTGCTTTGGTGCTTTAGAAGGCAGACATTCCCCGACGGGAGGGTTTTAGTGCAGTGCTCTCCAGTTTCACTCACCTAATTATTATGCCTTTGAGACCAGAAGCTGGTTTAAGTTAAAACAATATTATTCCAACATGGCTAAATGGTTAACCAGTCTGTTAGACAGGTCAGCGAGGCAAGTTTTAATAAATCGAAGCTTACATCTACAGCTGCCATCTCACGTTTTCCTTTCAAGAGCAATAGATTTTTTTTTCCCTCTCTCTTTAACATTCTCATACTGTATGACTAAAGATGACGGTATATTAGCTTTGTGTGGAGAAGTGATGTTGGCTTGGCTCTGGTAGAGCAACACCCTGTTTGGCATAAATAAACTCTGATGTCATTGCTAGTTTAACTTTTTATAATTAGTTGAGCGGTTAAGAATCTTTAAACCGTATTTAGATATTTATGAACAACACATCCAGGCGCAGTCTGTGCACGGCCATGGAGAATGGAACACAATGTCAATCTACATTAAGATTAATCTGGGCTGCATTTACAGCAACAGATTGTGTTAAATAGAGAGTCAGAGGAAATGATGGCATATGCCCAGTGCTTAGTGTCATATTGTAAGAAAGAATCCTGAATGTTTGTATTTTCTATTATATTCTTTTTTACTCCCAGTACCTCAATAGCAAATAATCTCAGAAGATTAACCACATGGCTGATGGTTTGTTCACTTGTATGTTGTGTTGAGCAGAATTGACCGGAAGATGTCCAGCAGTCACACCAACTACAAACTAGATGAAGCGCAGGCCATCTTCAGCGAGCTCCGCAGCATTAAAAAGGCCATCAGCACCGGCGAGAAGGAGAGGCAGGACCTCATCCAGGTCAGATAGACACAAGTCCATCATCTTCATAGATTTTTCCTTGAAAGAGGAAAAGTTTTTTTATATTTTTATACTTGGTTAACAAAATATGTAGAACTGTGGATTGTGGAAACATGATCACAGTGTTGTTATAGCAAACTCTTTCAGTTCAGCTCTTTTCTGGGGTGTAACACCCAGTTTTCACAATCCAGTTAATCCTTAATGGCATCCACAATTTTTTTTCTCCTCATTGAAAATCCTGATACACTCACAGAATTGTCATGTTATTGAGGTGTAAAATGCACTGCAAACAGCAATTCAGTTTAACTAAATTAATTCTACATGACATTCCCTGTCTACTGAATGCATCAATGGATACTGAATAGACATTCATATCTCCCCTAATTTATCATTCATTTTAACACCTTCAACCTCCTCTCAAATATCTTTTATTTTAACAGGTGCTGCCATCTTGTGGTGAAAACTGATTACTGAGGATTTCTGTTATGAATATCACTTTAATTTGTGATTTGTTGTGCACAGAGCCTGGCCAAGCTGACGCTCAACTTCTGTGACTCCATTAATGAGGTGGCCAACAATGCAGAAACCCTGGGTAACTCCTGTAGTGTACAACAATACACAGACTCTGGATGCCAGACTGATCTGATGGGAGAGGTTTGTCAGGGTTTTGTTTTGCAACTGAACTATCAATTGTTTTATGTTTGACAGTATGATTTTGTGTCATAACAAAAATACAATTACATTCCTATATGCTCAATACTTTTAAATTGTAATTTTTCTCTTCCAGTTTGGCACACAGGAGCCACCACTGGTTGCAGACAGAGTCAAACTCAATTGGCAGTATGAAGAGGCTAAAAAGAAGTAAGGAGATTTGCAAAAATACACTGGATAACTGTTATTGACAACAAACATGTAAAAACAGTCAGCTGCTTGAAGTAAAATAGAATCCCATTAATTTTCTCTTGAGAGAAATAGATTTTTTCAGAATAACATTTAAACCTCGTTAAAAGTTTGTATATGCGAGTATATATTAATTAAGGTGTCAGTCACCATGTCCCAATTTGCATAGTATCCATCCTAGTACCCATAGTATGTGTCCCAAATTGTAATTCCAAATGGACCCGGATGGTCTACTATTTCCAGTTAGATTTCAAACTGCAGATCCATGCACACTCTGACGCATATATATATATATATATATATATATATATATTATATTATTTATTTATTTATTTTAAACTAATGTGTGATGTGTGAGACAGATGGTTAAGAGGTTTGAGTGAATAATAATCAGTATCTAGCCTGGTAAAAAAAAAATATATATATATATATATATATATATATATTAAATGTTATACATATTATATTTCCTTTGCAACATTGTGAACTTTTATAAAGACAAGTTTGGACACTAATTTTTAAATGCATCATTATGAGAGTTCTGAGCATCAAGTAGTCTTTCTTCACAAAAACTGTACTTTTAGAGAATAGTACAAGTTTGTCAATTGTGACTCAGCAAGTGTGATTTCAACATAATAAAAAAAAAATCAATGTTTTTTCTATGATATTCTGGTACCTATATATGCATGGGGCGTGTGGCTCCGTGTTAATATTAGAATTTCCACCAATTTTTCATCTACTATGCAAATATCATAAGTCAAATCACTTTGAAACACCTGATTTCAGTCATGTGATTTCAAGGAGAAGAAGTTATTTGACTTGGAACTGCTTTTCAGCCTGACTGTGATTTCCCAAGAGTATGATCCTGTGCCTCATCCACTGCCTTTAAGGGAAACCCTGTCTGGATATGCTTCGTAACAATATTGCTACTACTTGACTTTAGATTTTAGCAGTTTGTGTAAAAGTAGAGTGGTGGATTGATGTGGCCTACATTGCATTTGGAAGCTCCTCTTTATTTTTAGAGGAACTGGTGCTGTAGTTTTTGGCCTCCGTGTTAGAACAGCGGCTCCATGCAAACGTCTTTACAAGATGCATGTTTCCATAGCAACAGAGTTGGCCACTGAGTGTATGCCAGGTATGACATCAGAGAGAGAAATTAGGGGGGAATGGGGAAAAGAGAGTCTTCTTCCACAGAAGAAAGCTGTGGAAACTTACATGCTCTTTGACTGAGTCACAATATCTGACCTCCAAAGTGCAGAGAAACAGTTTCTCATGCCAAACATAAAGCTGTAGTGTCTCTCTCTGCTCTTTAATATTTTTGCCAGCCCTTTTACTTACACACATGCACACATATTTACAATATAACATGCTGGACATGCCATTTCAGTTTTGAAGTAAAATGCGATAAAAAAAAAAATCCAGTAATCCAGTAAATGTTATTACAATTTAAATTAACTGTTTTTATTTTTTTTAAAAATAAAATGTAATTTTAAAATGTAATTTATTCCTGTGATGGTAAAGCTGATTTTACCATCAGTGATTTTACCATCAGTCTTCAGTGATCCATCAGAAATCTTTCTAATCTGCTGATTTGGTGCTCAAGAAACATTTCTTATTGTTATCAATGTTGAAACCAGTTGTGCTGCTGTTTTTTTTTTTTTTTTTTTTTTTTTCAGAATTATTTGATGAATGGAAAGTTCAAAATACCAGCATTTATTCGAATTCAAATTTCGAAGTCGCGCTTGATCAAATAATGCATCCATCTTAATAAAAGTTCAGTTTTCACTCTAACTGACTCCAACTTTTGAATGGTGGAATGAATAGTATTGCATTTATGTGATATAGACCTTATTCAGAGCAGCGCCATGACAGGTATGAAAGTGAGGCTGTGAGGGATAGAGTTACGGTGTTTCCAATAGTATCCGCTGTAAAAAGCTGAATAAAGCTCCTAGATTACTTACAATTTTCCACAGCTTACATTGTCTGGAGTTTTTGTCAACTGACATTTCTTTGAAAGATATTTTTCCAGTGTTTCATGAGCAGAACAATCCGAAAACACATTAAATAACAATACAGCCCATTGAAGAGATGCATGTCTATCCCTCACAGCCTCGCTTTCATTCTCATAAAAAATCAAAGATGGCGCTGCCGTGAATAAGGCGTATTAATCATGGAACTGTCCTGTATGTGTAGCCTATTGAACACAATCATTTGATCATGTCTGCATTTATCTGTTTACAGAAGCTAAGATGATCCCTTGTTTTGTCTCTCTCTCTCTCTCTCTCTCCCTCTAGGATGTCCAGTATTCAGCATCAGTTGGCTCAGTTTGACAGTGAGAGCTGGTCGGGACGTGCGGAGGCCGACCGGGATCTGGACTGTCTGCAGCTGCTGCGGGAGAAGGAGGCTCTGCTCCAGGAGATCACTCTGCTCAGCCAGCAGCAGCACTCCTCCGAAACTCTGCTCCAGTTGCAGGAGGAGAAGCGCAGGCTGGGGGAGGAGGTGCAGAAAGCCCAGATTGTCCAGAGTCAGGGGGCCAGTCAGAGGTTGGAATGTATATCATATATAAATAGTCATGTATGTGGATGTTTAACATATGTAGTATTCTTAGAAAAGATCACTTTTAAAGGATTGTTGCACTTTTAATTGGCAGGATTTTCAAGGATATATCAGGTTTTGTAGCCCAAAGTAAAGCATGTTACAACCATGCAAAAAAAGTAAAGTTGCAGCAACATGGTGATAAAGAAAAGCATGTCAGGTCAACATAATATACCTCCACTCAAATGGGGGTTGAATAATGTATTCGTTATCAGCAAATCTTGCAAACAAAATATGTCGGTAAATGTTTTGTAAATGCCTGCAGAGGTAAAAAAAAAAAAAACAGTACCCGTATTTCCCCACTGAACAAAGCAGATGTTGGTGCTTGTGCCAGCTCTGAGCTGCTCATTATGAGAATCTTAGATCTGAGACCTCAGCTGAGATTGGGTCTTTTTTGTCATATTACGTCAGTATACACATCAGCTTTCATATCCTCACCTGCATGTTTTTTTCTTTTTCTTTTTTTGTTATGTAATTAATATTGATGGGTTTACTTTGTCACATTAGGAGCCATAAAATAGTAGAATAGCATTTTCTTATGATGGTCAAAATTAAATTACATGACAAATCGAATAAATGGCAGACTATGCACTGAAGTCATTTCCAGTTTTGCACAATGAGCAATTGAACAAATACTATTGCATTTGTGACCCACAGTCTATGATTCAGACATCAAATGGTTAGTTAAAACTAGGGCAGTCAAATGATTAATCGCGATTAATCACATCCAAAATAAAAGTTTTTGTTTACATAACATATGTGGGTGCGCTGTGTATAATAATTATATATATATATATATATATTACACACACATGCTTGTATATATTTAAGAAATATTTTCATGTATATACTGTATATAGATTTATATGGAATTTATATCATATATAAATATTTTATATATAAATAATATTTTTTTCTTAAATATACATGCATTTGTGTATATATATATATATATATGAAGAGTTCAGATGCAAAAGCCTCTAAGTGCCATTTGAAATTTTCTTCTAAAATGATCATTTTTATCAAGCTTGTATATTTAAGTTTAGTGATTTAAATGGCAATGAAGATAACCTATTAATTGTCATTTAAGTGAAATTACTGAACTTAAATATACAAGCTTGATAAAAATGGTCATTTTAGAAGAAAATTTCAAATGGCATTTAGAGGCTTTTGCATCTGAACTCTTCATATATATATATATACACACACACACAAAATAATTATACACAGTGCACCCACATATATTATGTAAAAAAAAAAATATTTTGGATATGATTAATCACAATGATTATTTGACAGCCCTTGTTAAAACTGACTCGATAAATGCAGCAAATCTGTATCATTATCTGTCAAATGTGTCTATGTTGTGTAGGATATTACAGCAGGAGAAAAGGAATGTACTCATGAGGCAACTAGAGGAAGCCACCCGTATCACCACCTATCTACACTCTCAACTGAAGAGGTACATCACACACAACCTGAACACCCTCATACACACCTGATTCAGAGGGCAGAAATCAAGACTAACGCTGTCAGTTTAACACATGTATGTAATTATCATATAATAATACAAAAATTAATGAGAGAAGTAAAGTTAAACTGACTGTGTGTATAGATTAATATATTTAATTATTATGCTTTTATTTATTTTAATGATAACAATAACTAATTTAAAAGTATGCATTTATTTTCACTGTAAGCCGCTAATACACTTACTTTCTATAAAATAAACAACATATTGACTTTTGAAGCCTCTTTTCCAAAGCAATAATGTATTCAATTATTATCTTGGCTTTTTTCTCTGCAGATTTTGATAGAATATAATATTCAGTGTGATTATTGGTTACTGATTTAAATCAGCAGCATATCTTATCATGTGATGTGATGTGATTTTTCTTTTTTTTTAATCAATTAGCACCCCTAATCCAAAGAGGTAATGATAAAAACACTAATAAGAAAAAAATAACAGGATGTCTAACCACATCAACCCAAAAATGACCATTTCTCTCTGTGTGCAGCCTATCAGCCAGTAATCTGACAGTGTCCTCCAGCAGCAGCCGTGGCTCTTTAGCCTCCAGTCGTGGCTCTTTGGCATCCAGTCGTGGTTCTCTCAGCTCGGTCAGCTTCACCGACATCTACGGCCTACCCCAGTATGAGCGAACAGAAGGAAACTCTGATGTTCTGGACCCTTCTTTCCGCTACCTTCTCCCCTTGGAGACCCACAGTAGGGACGGCTCAGCCTTCGGCCCAAAACGTTCACACGACACACCGCAGTCTCTCACCTCTCTCTCCTCTCGGTCCTCGCTCTCGTCGCTCTCCCCTCCCAGCTCCCCCATGGACACCCCCTATCACTCAGTCCCCCAGGACTGTCCTCTGGCCCAGATGACAGAGGAGTACATGGAGGTGGCCAGCAGAGGGCTACGGAACCAGACTCAATCCCAGCAGCACACTACTCTTCCTGGGGAAGGGGAAGTGGGAATCCCAGCCACTGGACACCTCCTGGAAGGAAAGAGCCATAGAGACGGAGTTCTCCAAGGAACGCATAACTCCACAGGTGATGAATAATGACCTGGAAATTGCAACTGACTGATCGATTCAAAATGTTTAGTATTTTTCATTGTTCAAGTGTTAAGGCATTCAGAATTGAAAACAAAATAAATATGTAATTATTGATTATTTTTAATGGCTTAGAAATAAATTATAAAGAAGGCATTTTTGTTAAAATGTATAAATGATGTCAAATTGAATAATGTGTTAACATTTTTTAACACTTTACAATGATGTCCCATTAGTTCGCTTTTGTTAATGGGTTAACTAATATTAACTAACAAATCGTAATACGTTTGTTTCAGTATTTATTAATCTTTGTTAACGTTTTAACATTGTTTTGATGCAAAAAATTATTTACGTTTTCTATTTTTTTGTGTGTGTGTTTTTGACTCCATATAGGAGTAACCCTACGCTCTAAAAGTGCAAGTCGGACCAGTAGAAGAGCAAGACGAGTGTCTGCAGGAGTAAATGAAGACATTTTGGCAACAGACAGTGGGGTCTTTGAAGCCTGGAGCAGAAGGTGAGAGGATATTCTGTAATAAAGATAAAGACTTTAAAGTGATAGTTCACCAACTATTCTGTCATCAATTCAATCAACTCACCCTCATGCCATTCCAAACCCATAAAAGAAAATTGATAAAGTATTGAGAATGTATTGACCATGGGTTGTCAAGCTCCTACAAATACTATGTGCGCAGTCTTTGTATACTAACACAATTTGGGTTGTGAAAAAAAAAAAAAAAAAAACACGTTACAAATATATATATATATTTAATCTTCAAATTGGCATGTACCTACTTTGGAATGTGTACTTTTGTATCACACATTATCGTTATATCCTCTACACAAAAGTACACACACACACACATATAGACTACTGTTCAAAAGTTTGAAACAGTAGTAAGATTAATATTTTTTGTAGCAAGCATGTATTGTTTAAAAGTGACATTTATAATGTTACAAAATATTTCCATTTCAAGTAAAAGCTTTTCTTTTAGCATCACCGTATCCACAAAAATATCAAGCAGCACAACTTTTTTCAACATTGATTATAATAAGAAATGTTTCTAGAGCATCAAATCAGGATATTAGAATGATTTCTGAAGGATCATGTGACACTGAAGACTGGAGTAATGATGCTGAAAATTCACATGAATATATTTTAAAATGTATTATTTAAAATAGAAAACATTTAATTTGAAACATTTTAAATTCCAATAATATTCCACAGTATTTTTGGTCAATTAAATAAATAACACAACAGCAAATTAAATCTTACCAACCCCAAACTTAAAACGGTATTGTATAATTGCATGCATGTTAATGCATTGCTGTGTTATAATCGTCTAAATTTCTCTTTCCAGTAGGCCAGAGGAATCAGAAGAAGTCAGTTTTGCTCAAGACGTCACAGCCTCAGTGCCAGTTCAGATTCAGCTTGGTCTTCTGTAAGCAGCACACACTCTCTCATACACATACATGCATACTTCCCTCATTATAAACCACCAAATCACTCTTATTAAAACATTCATTCACTCTGGGTGGCTCTTTTGCAGATATGATTCAAATGGCATGTTTTTGCTGCTGCATGTTCTTCAGATGAGATATTTAAGCAAGGCCACCATTAGAGATGGATGCAAAGTGTAAGTACTCCCATCTTATATCCATTAATGCACTCACTCTGCTCTACTTCTGTGATGTCCTTTGCAGAAACTTTTTACACATGTGCACAATATCTCCTTGTTTGCATCTTTGAAATTCACAGATTTGTGAAGGTTCATGTTCTCCCGGTGGACTCCAGTCGGCCCTGCACATATTACTGCTGTAAGGCCCAGGAGCCTCAATCTCTTCTCAGCTTTAATGAGGGCTTCCAGATCCCCCTGAGTGCTGGAGGCCCTGGGGCCCATGCCTTACAGTTAAACCTCTGTGCTGTAGGACCCCTCACTCAAGAGGAGCCACTGGTTAGACTAAAAATTCACTCAGAAATAGCATGCTGATAATTTAAATTGTAATGAATCATTTTGTATTCACTAAAATAATGAAGTTATGAGTATTTTTGGACCACGCTGTATGTAAAATGTTAAAATGTGTAGCTTTGAGATGTGTGAGATGATGTATGACCTGTGTCTGTTTGTGGATCAGGGTTCTGCTCAGGTTTCGCTGACAGACTGTGCTTGCAGCACAGAAATGATCTTCCAGTGGCACAAAGTGCAGATCCACAGCACGGAGAACCACAGGCCCGAGCACGGCCGCCTCACTCAATCCAGCCGTATTATGGATGAGGAGGAGGAAAAGAACGAAGGGCAGGGCAAGCTTGAGGTGAGATCACAACACTGCACACCTTTCTGATCCTTGACTGCCATTATGCTTTAATTAAAAGAATAGTTCACTCAAAAATCCAAAAGTTGTCATCATTTATTCACTCTGAGAATTTGTTCCAACGACTTATTTAGTTCAGTTGTGGCATTTATGTTTTACTAAGTTTTCTCATTTTAATTGAGTCTTTGGTCACTTATAACATGCATTTGAAAATGCAACACACCAACCATCTTCCTAAATGTATAATGAGAATCATTTATAAATCTGTTGTTAACCAAAAGAGAAGTTTTAAAGTTGGCATCATACAGAAGTCGCAATCATCTTGCAAAAAGTATTCGTAATCGTACCCCTTCATTTTTTTCACATTTTGTTATGTTGCTGCCTTATGTTATCTACACTCCATATACCATAATGACAAAGCCAAAAAAAAAAGAAAAAAGCTTTGTGACAACTTTGCAAATTTATAAAAAAATAAAAAAAATAAAATAATTTTATTGCATATTACTAGTACCCTTTTCTGGGACACTTGAAATTTAGCTCTGGAGCATTCCAATTTCACTTCCTGTGGCAAATGGGTATGATTTGGAAAGGCACACACCTCTCATTAAAAGGTCTAACAACTGAAAATGCATATCAGAGCCATGACCAAGCCATGAGGTGAGAAGAACTGCCTGTAGAGCTCAGAGACAAGATTGTGTCAAGCAGACTAGAAAGAAAAAAAAGATTCTGCTGCATTGAAGGTTCACAGAATATGCGTAATCCTTAATAGAAGATTTGAACAACCTGGACTCTTCCCAGAACTGGCCTCCTTGCCAAATTTAGAAAGAATAGTGACCAAGAAGCTTATGGTCACTCTAATTGAGCTCCATGATCATATATGGAGATGGGAGAAACTTCACTGCAACACTCCACCGATCTGGGCTTTATGGCAGAGAGACCAGACTCAAGCCTCTCCTCAGTGGAGAAGACACACACTTGGAATTTGCAAAAAAGCACCTAAATGACTCTCTCAGACTGAGAAACATTATTTTCTGGTCTGATGAAACCAGGCACTGTTCATCAACAGTAAAGTGTAGTGGTGGCAAGATCATGGCTTATGGACAACTCTGTGAATGTCCTTGAGTGGCCCAACCAGAGCCTGAGTCAGAGCCAACTCAATCAAACATCTCTGTAGAAACCTGAAAATGTCTTTCCACTGACATTCCCTATCCTACCTGACAGAGCTTGAGAGGATCTGAGGAGAGGAATGACAGAAATTCCCAAATGCAGATGTGTAAAGCTTGTCGCATCATACCCAAAAAGACTTGTGCTTCAACTAAGTCCTGAGTTAAGGGCACAAATAATTATGCAGTGTACTTATTTCAGTTTTTCCTTTTCAATAAATTTGTTCAGTTGTCATAAATCAGATTTTTGCTTTGCTTTATCATGTATGGAGTGTAGATTTATCTGAAAAAATAAGTAATTTAATGTAGTTTTACAATGACAAAATGTGAAAAGAATGAAGGGGTATGAATACTTTCACAAGGCACTGAATATTAAAGGGAAACCGCTTCTCAAATGGAAAGAAAAGCAAAACGGGACTTGCATCTTGGTTGCATCTCAGGAAGTTACTTTGATTAAAGATTACATGGGCACATGAATTAAAATAAATGATTTGCACAGATAAATAATTTAGTAAGACTGGTGTGGAGAAATCATTTCTAATAAAAATAAGAATTGTCCTATTTCATTTCATGGTGACTTTAAGGTCTTTTAATGTTAAGACAGCCAAAAATATTATTATTGTACTTTTTAAAATATTCTTATTATTGTATATTATAATTGTTAAATAGTCATGTTGTTCTTAGCTGATCACATGTCTGTTTAATGTTAAAATATTCTAATGTTCATAAAGATTTGCTAAGAAAACAGAGCAATGATAAGTTCCACAGTATTTACACTGTGCTGAAGAAATCAACATACAATTTTTTTTTCCATATTAAGTTAAAATAACACAAATATTTTAAAAATACAAAAAAGGTCTTTCCTCTGCTGTCCATTTTCGTGTAGGTGTCGGTGATGACTCATTTGGAAGAGATGAAGAAAGAGTTGCAGAGGAGTGAAGAGGAGCTGGAAAGGAAGGAAGAGACTGGGGAGGCGGTTTCTGAGAGGTCCACACACTCACTGTCTTTCTATAAACCTTTCAGCTTATGGCTAAGAACACACACACATCAGATGATGCTGTAACTGCTGTGTGTGATTTAGGAGTTGGCAGGCGGAGTCAGTGGACAGCGGCTGCAGTAACAGTACAGCGTTTGTCATTCCCTGTCCTGAGAGTCTTTACGGTGAAGGTGTCTGCGTGACCTCTGGGAGACGCTGTCTCCAGCCTGCAGAGAGAAATCCAATTGTGAAGGTATTGGGAAGTGTTACAAAAGTCATAGCAACTTTATGAATTGTCCTCTTATTATTAAACAATCTATTTTCTAGACTTTATGCAATATTCAAGGTTGTTTAGAAATTGCTGAAAGTTATATAACAAAAATACAAGCTGCTCATTTCAGCTTTTAAATGCCTTAGTCTGTTAAGCTTCTGTTAAATGCAAATGACTTAAAAGGCTTTTGTTTATATGCTCAGAGAGGCTCATAATTGACATTTTTGGGTGAACTAACCTTCAATAGATCATTAATAGATCACATGTTTGTTTGTTTTTCAGGTGGACAAGGCAACCAACACAGAAGGTGTGTTTCCAGAGCCAATGAGGATGCGGCCGAAAGAAAGGGCAGGACGCTGGGGTCACAGCTCACCGTTCATGCGGAGCAGCACAATAGTCCGATCTCAGACGTTTTCACCTGGAGCGCGCAGTCAGTACGTCTGCAGGGTAAGTGGAAACATTCACTTCACACAATGGGTTAGTGATGGCTGATCTGACAAAATCAGTATGAGTGATGGTTTTTTTTATCACAAGAATGATATCTTGCATGAATATTCACAATACTGAAATTAAGCCACTAAATGTTTTATATATTACATGCGCTCGCAAAACATTTGTTTTTATTTGCGGATGAGCGAAAAGTTTCTCGGGGGAACGCAAAACATTTGCGAGAGAACGCAAAAGCATTGCCAAATAATTGTTCCTCCCATCTCGTATATTTTTTTCTTCATCATGACCCTTTAGGGACTCCATAAGATATATTCATCAAAACAAGAAAAACATCTGCCAGTGGAGTCAGAAAAAATATATTTAATTCAAAGGGAAAACAAGATTATTCATTAGATTGTCATTTTAATACATTTAGCTAAATATAAGACTTAATATCTTACGTTATTTTGCTTCTCAAGTAAATGTGTCTATTTAAGAATGTTTAGATATTTGTACTGAAAAAAAAAATACTCAGTAAGAAAAGAATTTGTTTTTACAGTGATAACATTTTTTAATTAGAAATGAGTGGTCACAAACCAAAATATATGATTTAAAACAAAATAAATAACGAATCTTGCATCAATAAAAAAACAGCTTTACTTTACAATGTATTCACTTTCCCTTTGTTTTCCCTCGTTCACAGTTGTACAGAAGTGACAGTGACAGCTCTACTCTACCAAAGAAATCCCCCTTCATCAGAAACACTCTAGAGCGACGGACTCTGAGATATAAACAGGTTGGAATGAGCATGTAGCTGTGTTACACACATTTAATCATCTTTTGCTCTGGAAGTGTACTTACTGTATGTGTCCATTTCACGTGACCGCAGCAGTCTCACCGCTCCTCTCTGGCTGAGCAGCCCACACGTACCTCTCTGGACCTGGAGCTGGACCTCCAGGCCTGCCGTACACGACAGAGGCAGCTGAGCGAGGAGCTGGCCGCTCTGCGGGAGCTCAAACTGAGGCTGGAGGAGCCCATGCAGGGCCCCCGCGGCCCCGCGGACCTCCCTCATTGGGCCCTGCGGGATGAGCGTTTCCGAAACCTGTTACGTGAGGCCCAGAGACAGGTACTGCCCATTTATATGTCTTTTCTGTATCTGCATTGCTGCTTTCTAAATTTCTCACAGATTTGTAAATTTGGTAACACTTTGGCTAACATGAATGCTTTAGCTATGAACTAAAAATACTTTTACAGTATTCATTAATCTAGGTTAATTTCTTCACCTACTTTTTTTAATATTTGAAATTGTATTGATTTAACATGAGTTATTTTTGTATTATATACGTACGAACATGAGAGAAGTCTCTTATGCTCACCAAGGCTGCATTTATTTGACGAAAAATAAAGCTAAAACAGTAATATTGTGAAATATTATTTAAATTTAAACTGTTTTCCATTTTAGCGTATTCTAAAAAGTAACTTATTCCTATGACGGCAAAGCTGGATTTTCAGCATCATTACTCCAGTCTTCAGTGTCACATGATCCTTCAGAAATCATTCTAATATGCTGATTTGCTGCTCAAGAAACATTTAAACTTTTATACTTTTGGTAAATTAAATGTTGTTGTTAAATAAAAGTATATATTTCTTAAAAGGATACATTTTTAAGATGTCAAGTTGTATAAAACTTCGTTATTGTAGAGGAAGGAACAGAAATTAACAATGATCAATAGTATAATTACTGTATAAATTAACAATATGCATAAATGACATTACCTGATATTTATATCTATTGTATAATTTTGTATTGTATTGAGGATTTTAAATATTATATGGTATTTTGCCACTTGACCATTTACCATTGCAAATTTTTATTGGGATGGAGTTAAGACCACAGAGTACATTGGTAAAACGCCAATTTTAACAGACTTATTAAGAAAAAATTGTATTAAATGTATACTTTTACAACTATGACTGACATGAATACAAGCAGAGGTAAAGAAAGGGAGACAGGGCACAATTCTAAGATGTTGTGAATTGTAGCTTCTGTTTAAAATCACCTTTATTGTTGATTAATTTATTTTTCTCCTCTTAACTCTGTCTTGCAGGCCAAGCAGAGCAGGCAGGAGCAGAGGCAGGAGGAAGCTGCTGAAAGGAGGTTGCGAAAAGCCTCAAAAGAGGTTTTGCAAATGAGGGGCCAGAGCCACAAAGAGCCCCTCCCCGTGCAGACGTTCAAGTGAGTCTTTCATTACATTTCCATTTATTTAAGGGTTAGTTCACCCACAAATTTGAATTATGTCATTGATTATCATGTCGTCCCAAACCCATAAGACCTTAGTTTACCTTCAGAACACAAATTAATTATATTTTTGTTGAAATCCAAGAGCTTTTTGACCCCCCTATAGACAGCAACGCAATTACCACTTAGTTTCTAGGCCCAGAAAGGTTATAAAGACATTGTTAAAATAGTCAATATGACTACAGTGGTTCAGCCATAATGTTATGAAATCACAAGAACACTATTTGTGCACTAAAACCCCACAATATAACTACTTATTCAACTATTTCTTATTCCGTGTCAGTGTCTGTTCAGCTCCTGACACTGGAGCCGGCTTTCTGATGTAGAACCCGGAAGTGTTGCATTGTGTTTACACATCAGAGACTGACATGTTGTTATTTTTGCACAAAAAGTATTCTTGTCGCTTCTTAAAGGGTTAGTTCACCCAAAAATGAAAATTAAGTAATTAATTACTCACCCCCATGCTGTACCAACCCCGTAAGACCTTCGTTCATCTTCGGAACACAAATGAAGATATTTTTGATTAAATTTGAGAGCTGTATAACTACCACATTGGCTGCCTAAGGGACTGGCTCTTGACGGCCCAGAAAGTCAATGAAGAAAATGTTTAAATATTCCATGTGACTACAGTGGCTCAACTATAAGTTTATCAAGCGACGAGAATACTTTTCGTGCGAAAAAACAAACAAACATGCGTCGTGGAAATCTAAGGAAGTCTCGTTTCAGGCCAACAAGGATAGTCGAATAAAGTCGTTATTTTTGTTTGTTTTTTCGCACAAAAAGTATTCTCGTCGCTTGATAAAATTATAGTTGAGCCAGTGTAGTCACATGGAATATTTAAACATTTTCTTCATTGACTTTCTGGGCCGTCAAGAGCCAGTCCCTTAGGCAGCCAATGTGGTAGTTATACAGTTCTCAAATTTAATCAAAAATATCTTCATTTGTGTTCCGAAGATGAACGAAGGTCTTACGGGGTTGGTACAGCATGGGGGTGAGTAATTAATGACTTAATTTTCATTTTTGGGTGAACTAACCCTTTAACCCTCAAATGGTGTTCGTTTCCTGTTTACACCTCTGGGCTTCGGGGTCTATACGACCCCAACAATTAATTGAGTAATTGTACAAAAAATATACATTTTTAATCATACAAATAATATATATTTTTTTTTTGTTTACTTCACATCTGTTCATTAATGCTGTGTTTTTGGAGATATAAAGTACTTTTGTATCCATATACCACACAATTCCTCATCTACACCAGCCTTTCTCAAACTTTTTTCAGTCAGGGCACCTTTCAAAAGTGCATAAAATCTCAAGGCACCCCAGTGTAAAATATAATTTAAAAACACTGCATAACCCAAATTTAAATGCAAATGTCTTGTTTAGTTAGACAGAACAGTAATGAACAGAGCATAATATTAACTGTAAATAACAATAATAATAAAAACTTTATAGCACCTTTAAAAACACAGGTTTGCAAAGTAATTCACAAAATAATTAATCAGAGACACAAATGCCATAAAACCGTAAGAGGTGGACCGCCCAATACAAGAACCCAATAACAAATCCAGACCAGGAGAACTCAAATGAAGTGCAGGATGCAGATAAAATAAAATAAAAATCCCCAGCTCTTGTGGGGATTTTCTTTTCAAAAAACGATCCATAATGCTGTAACTAAAGTGGCCTAAATTCACGTTTATTTTTACGTTTCTGTCAGTCTGAGGTGTTGCTATAACGCGTTGCTATGGATTGCGTCACTTGCGTCAAGTTGTGTGTGTCTTGCTTCGGTCTTGTGAGACGGATTTTTTTATGATTAATTTTATATGTTTATCTAAAATGATTTTACAATTTTATTAATATGTTCATATAAAGAAGAATGTAAATTCAAATATATTTATATATGTAATGTCAGCTGTCTTTTTTTCCGGGGGTTTTTTTTCCACATTTTTTTTAGCCTACGTAATTTTTTGGCGGCACCCCTGACACAGCTAGGGGGCACCCCAGTGTGCCGCGGCACCCACTTTGAGAAAGGCTGATCTACACTATTAGGTTGCATATGAAGTATCATTTTTTTTTATGATACATTACATTTATGCTCTAGTACTAGGCCTTCATTTCTATGTAAAAATTTTCAGATTAATGCCGGATTTTTATTTTTTTTTTTTTTGACACATGAAGAAAACATATTTATTTTTTCACATTTCCCATTCATTTCAATGTGGGGTCATATTGACCCCAAAGACCAGAAGTGTAAACTTTTTTTTTTTTTTTTTACATACCTTCAGAACAACCGAACCAAGCTCATTTTTTGTGTGTATAGATAGATAATGTATGAAAAGTCACAAAATCTTATTCCACTGAGATGAAGGGAACCTTTTTTTTAATAAGAGGGCTAAAATTAAAGTGCAAGCACTGTTGTCACATGGACTATTTTAACGATGTCTTCACTAGCTTTCTGGACATTGAAAGTGGCTATTACATTGCTGTCGATAGGAGGGTCTTTAAGCTTTTAGATTTCATCAAAAATGTATTATTTTTTGATCTGAAGATGAACAAAAGTCTTACTGGTTTGGAACAACATGGGGGTGAATAATTAATGACAGAATTTTCATTTTTGGATGAGCTGACCCTTTAATAAACACCAATGCATGGAGAGAATTTCTGATAAATGTGAAATGTATCAATCTTTCCTGAGGCAGAGAGAAGATGGCTTTCTTTACTAGACCAAGATTCAACATCCCGCCTCTGCCAGCTGACGATGTGTGAGCGCCCCCTAGGCCACACTATATCAAATATGAAGAATCTGTCTGTTTTATTTTGTTTTTTTGTATTCATGCCCATGAAGTAATTAGAACAGAAATGTAATTATTTCAGCACAAAGATTAAAAGTTATTTGATATGCAACATTTGAACAGAAAGCTGTACAAAACAAGCGTGTGTGGGGTTGTGCGTGATTGTGAGTGTGTGCGCGTGCGTGCGTGTGGTAGTACTAATGAACACGTACACCTATATTTTATGTAATTATTGACATCTTGGCAATTTTTCCTGCTTGTTTAAAGGGGGAAATAAGTGTTTTATAAAAGAACAAAGCATCTTTTTACTCCTGTACGATGTACTTCTGATATTTCGATGTCTACGCTTACTTAAGGCTGGAAGACGGGAACAAAGTCAGTTTAGACAAATTCACTGTACTGTAACTTATTTTATAGTACTTTTCCTTGAAGGAAATAAAAATGCTCCCTGCTTTTTAATGTATTTTATAAAGCTTAAAACAAATAGCACTTACTGTAAGTGTTTTTGACGTACAGTAGAATGGAAATTTTGGCTGATTTTGTTTCTGTTACCTGATTCTTTAAAGTTATTTACTTAATGTCACTTTTTTTTTTGATCCACTTTTGTTGCAGTTGTCATTGTCCCTTGTGCTGTTATTCTATTAAATTTATTAATATTAATTATTACTTGTAATTTTCAATATATAGACGAATATAATTTTGTATGCTGTCTGTAAAACATCTGCAGTGTTACCTCTCTTATGAAGATAAAAGCATTAAACCGTGAAAGTGCAGCTGTTTTTGAGAAATAACCTTTCAAGATCAAATCAGTGGTTTGTTTGGCAATGATGTTCATCATAAGTTCTAATGTAAATGATTATAATCATTAGTTTAGTGGATTGATGTCAGGTTTGTACATTATGATCTTTAAAGGCCTGTTACTCCAGAATTTGTTATCTAAATTGCCCAGAAGGTGGCGTCTTAAACCTGCTCTTGGGCTCACATGTGTTTTGCTAGTATTTCAGGAAAGTACTATGTTGTAGACTACACAATTTTGCACATAATAATCCTTAAATACATGGATATTACAAACAACGCTTTGCAGTGAAATTTCTCTTCGGCTATACGATATCTAACAATAGGACTATTAATGAGCCATTACTTATGATGGTTAAATTAACGTCATCTAATGATTCAAGCCCATTTTCAGCACTTTTTCTGGCATTTGCTGCCTTTAAATAGAAGCACAGCAGGTTTAGTTAAAAAGCATCAGATCTGGAACATTAATGAGGTGAAAATCTTAAAACTGGAAACGGGAAGAATGATGTTTGTTTAAAAATAGAGCAAGATTGCTGTTCTAATCCTTAATGATCTTTAAAAGCTGCACATAAAACCTCTCATTAAAGGAATTTCCATGGAGAGCTTTGATGGCTTTTTACTAAAACCGCAAATTAAAGGTGATTATCAACTTGCATCAGTGTCTCCCAACAGGAGCATGAAATGTATTCATAAATAAATCTGTAGTCGTTGATAATCGGTTGAAATAACACTTGACTGTTAATAGCCCATTTACAGGTTTTACCAAGACAAATTAATGTGTTTTTGTATGTTTCAGTCTCAATGCTAAAGCTACGCCATTTAAATGTGTTGGGACAGTATATATTTTTTTGAATTACTTTTATTCAGCAAGGATCCATTAAATTGATCAAAAGTGACACTAAATATATTTATAATGTTACTAAAGAACTTCTATGGATATATTTTTTCCAGTTTTTAACATTGATAATAAGAAATGTTTATTGAGTACAAAATCAGCAAGTAGCATATAGTAATGTGAATCATGACTGTTCATTTTAAGGTGAATTTAATCAGTACAATGGACCTTTTTAACCTCAAGCTCAGAAACACTGTGTTCTTATACTATCTAGTGTTCATAATGGGTCAAGCAGCTGTTGGAGGAGTACTTTGTTTTCCATCAATCAAACTCCTCACATTCCATTGTGTTATGAAAGAGTGCAGTGATTTGGGGAAGCCTGGTATGTAAACACTCCTTATCAGTTTTCCTTGTAAGCGTATATTCTGTGTGTATTGTATGCATTTAATTAGTCCCGCACTCTATCTTCCCTGTCAACGGGGTGAGTGACATACGGCCTCATGCAGTGTATGGATATTAATGGCATGCTCAGCCGTTGGCACTGGCTGAATCAGACGGCACCGCTAGACCCATCTTTCCCTATTTCTGCCAATAAATCAATTTTATACTGAAATCCTTAGAGACCTTAAAAGTCACGACCCCAATTCAATATGCTGCCACCCTGTAACACTAGTGCATTTGTTGCCACAAATAGTCAATAAATCCAATCAAGTAATGCATATGAATTTGCTTGTCATTTCTGTGCCTTATTGTCATACCAGATGGTATACTATCAAGTATTTGTTTGTGGTTCGCCAATGTTAATATACTGGGGAGTGAATTCATTTAGTGTAACACCAACAAAGGAGATGACAAACGTTTCTCATTAGGACTGTTTGTTTTGATAGTCCATTATTATTCTACAGTTTGATGTGTTCTGTTTAATAGTCACCATTAATTCAAAATTGACAATTCTTATTTTTATGGAACATTTTGGAATTTGTTATAAACGATTTATCTGGCTGGCCACATCATTGTTATTGTTTTAATTAATCTTCCCTTATGTGCCTTTAATCAAAATAACTTGCCCTTCCTCTTGCAGCAATCTCTTCTTTTCTCTGATCTGGTGTGAGGGTGGAACAAACACTCAACATGAGACCACAGCAATACCAAACCAAGACAATCCAATCATTCCTGATCGACAAAGTCCCTACATTTTTTCTTGTCCGTGAAGCTGTTTAACTTGTGTACATTATATATACAATACAAGTAAAACTTGTGAGGCTGTTTGCGAGTCACTGTTCAGATATTCATTCAACAAAATATTCTGTGGGCATGAAAATGTAGTGAATATGGTCAAACACTGGCAGTGGCTGGCAACTTTTTCTTTTAAAACGCTTCCAGAAACAGTTAACTGGCTTTCTATTCATGCCCTACAGTGAATGACAAGTGTCTTTCCTCTATGTGCATGCTATAGATCAATACAATATCTACAATGTTTTTAAAAGACATTTTACTCACGTAAGTCACCCTCATTTCATCCAAGATGTCCACGTTTTTCTTTCTTCAGTCGAAAAGAAATGAATGTTTTTGATGAAAACATTCCAGGATTTTCTCCATATAATGGACTTCATTGGGAAGCAAACGGTTCAAGGTCCAAATGAGAGTTTCAGTGCAGCTTCAAAGGGCTTTAAACGACACCAGACGATGAATAAGGGTCTTATCAAGGACTCTTCGAGTCATGACTCGAAAAAAGATTTGTTAATTTTGATGAACGAGTTTGAACTGGAGAGTCACAAACCCTCATCACAGAACAGAGCAAGGTGAGTATTTGTGCTAGATAAGACCCTTATTCATTGTCTGGTGTCATTTTAAAGCCCTTTGAAGCTGCACTGAAACTCTCATTTGGACCTTGAACAATTTGGTTCCCATTGAACTCCATTATATGGAGAAAATCCTGGAATGTTTTCATCAAAAACCTTATTTTCTTTTTGACTGAAGAAAGAAAGACATGGATATCTTATCAGCAATTATCAGCAAAAGTTTTTTTTTTTTTTTTAAGTGAACTACTCCTTTAATACTTTTAGATGAGTTAAAATTAGTCAAAAGTGACAGTAGCATCACAGGAATGAATTACATTTTAAAATACAACCCATTCAGACCCTGTGTCCATTACAATGGACATCACATGTCAGCCCCCTTTTTTTAACTTCTGGAGCATTTCACCTTGTTTAAAGCCTGCAGTCCATGAGATTGGACGTTTGTCATCCACTCAAATGCCAGTAAAGCTCTGCATGTAGTAATTATATAAAAAAAAACTCTACATTGAAGAGAAGCATGGCAGCACTTCACTCCAAACACAGAAGCAAGCAACGTTTTCTAAGGTGTATTTACATTTTGTATATATTTTTGCCAGTATTTCATAGTTTCTCACAGAGTAACTCAAAATTTCGACCCAAAAAAAACTACATGGGTACCCCTGTCGACTTTTTCGGTGCGAGAAAAATAAGTTTCTCTGATCTTCTTGAAACTCTGGATTCTGATAGAGAGCCATGGGACTTAGACCTGAGTGCAAAAATGGAGTTTCTAGAACCTTCCTGAGCTGAGATGTTGAGATATTTATAATGGCATAAATGCTCCATGGGATCTCAATATCTCAGCTCTGGAAGGGTCTAGAGCCTCCATTTTTGCACTCAGGTCTAAGTTTCATGGCCCTCTATCAGAATCCAGAGTTTCAAGAAGATCAGAGCAACTCAAAATTTCGACCAGAAAAAAAAAAACGACAGTGGTACCCCTTTCATTTTTTTTGTTTTGTTGTTTTGTGCGAAAAAATAAGTT